CTTCCTCCCCTCTAAGGGGAGAATAATTCCAGATATCAGCAGCTTCATAGTTATTGATGCTTTCTCCTTAGTTTTCCTCCTCCCATTGGTTTTTGTTTGGAAGGGCAGAATGGAGTCCTATAACCAAGAATTACCCTTCCAGCATTGAAATACAGTCACTTCTGGATTTGAACATAGCAGCGACTTAAGAGCACACCACAATTCTACCCAAAAACTTAGGCCAGGAAATGATATTGTAAAATGTTGGCAGTTGACTAAGAACCACATAAACCTTTGTGAATAGCTCTTTGTTGACTAGCAGTTACATGTGTAACCTAGTCATGTAGCTGGTTATAGTTTAGGGGTTTTTTAGACATACGAACATGAGCCCCCATGTATTTTTAATGACACTTCTGCCATTATTTTTCACTCCTCGTATTTCAGATAGACCATAAAAGATTTTGCCCCATTGTGACACTGTCATTTCCCCCCCTTTTCTTTATGAAACTCAGCTCTCATTTTATAACCCACAGCCAGATCAAATATCATATTCTCTTGACAGTCCATCAGCCTCGTGAGCCCTTGCACATATATCACAGGAGTTACACGGGGCTTATTGAACAGGCAAACAGGATCATTTACAAATAAAACAGAATTAGTTGAAACCATGAATTAACAATGGAAATCCTAGACTCTCTTACCTTCACCGCCACCAAGATCTTGTCCTGCTCTGGAGAAAGGTTATAGCACTCGGCCAAGAAGACTTTCCCAAAGGCTCCTTCTCCCAGCTCTCTTTTTAGAACAATATTGTGTCGTTTGATGTGCTGAACAACTGTAAAGGGAACATAAAATGCATGTTAGAAGTGAGTTTGGGGGAAAGGGTGGGAGGGTGCCCAGATGCATATGTACACTATGGAGGGGGACGGTTTTCCTGTACAGTACTGGGCATATAGTGGAAAGAATGCCATAGATGTCATTAGAGTTCTGTCATCAGCCAGATCACTGTAAGAAGTGTGTTAATATAGTTATAGAGAAGGCACAGTTTTGCTTTACAAGACATGGCACTGAGACCCTGGCAGTCATTAGGAGAGCGGTTATCATCAGTAAACTTGGATGACTCCTCTGAATATGAGAGTGAATATTGCTTTTCCACAAGTAAAAACAAAGGGAAAAAATGCAGGAAGGAGATGAAGCTTCTCTCATACCATTTCCATTTTTATTTCTCTAACAGCAGCTGATCCTTTTCATTCAGCTCCAAAGAAAAATTTGGGGAGGAGGGAGAGGGAGGAAACAAAATAAAACATTCACATAATCCAAGAAGATAAAGTATGCCCTCTTTTAATTAAATCCAATCTACTCCATGGCTCTCTGCTTATCGCTTGTTCATCTTAAATTAAACTGCCACTTGCTCTGTCTGTTTCATGCTACAGCTGGGATAAGGCAGATATTTCATTCTCACAAATATGATTTACACTGTTGCTCGAAGGTAAAAGAAAAAATAACACAAGATGGACCAAGGTTTTAGTCAATGTTGCTGATAGAACCTTTCAAATATCTGCTGAAAGAACTCACTACTAATGGACCAATTCATAAAGCCCTTAAGCATATTTTTAGTCTATCCTTTTGAACACAAACTTTAATTAAAGGATTTAATATTTAAAAATACTGAACCAGATTTACTGGTATACTCTGGCAACTTTGCACTGTGCTAGCTACATAAAGCAGCTGAAAGCCCAGTTTAACTGGTCAATTAAATTGCGTTTCCAGCTGCTTTGTGTTGCTGGAGTGGCACAAAGCAGCCAAAGTGTACTGGTGAATTTGCCCCATTTATTTGGTTTCACAGACATTGAAATTCACCCCTCTGTGGACAGCTAACACAAAGCCTATGCACCACTTCAGTCCTAATTAAGACCTGAAAAGTAAATGGGACCTAAGTGATGCATAGGCCTCTTGCAGGCTGTTTGCACACGGGTGAATCCCACCTAAACTGTACATCTAATTGCACCCAGTTTGTTGAATCAATACACAGGAAAGTTACAGTGAGCTTTGGATAATTTAAGTTTACAGACCACTCTCTGACCCAGTGCCCGCTCATTCAGATGTTATAGAATGGGAGCAAAGTTCTCTAGAAAACAGCCTATTTACACAGCCATAGGCTGCTCAGGGATGTGTTCCGATGGATACTAGTGAAAAAACCCACATGCCCCTGTTCTTCCTCAGTGTTAGGACACAAGGAGAAAGCAGCCACAGCGTGAGGGGAAATGGACATATATGCCACACACAGCAGATGCTGACCCTTGCATACTGCATACAAATACTGTATTCATATTTCAATTTGATGCTGAAATAATCCAGCATAGAGCCCCAGGACCACCTGTGCCTCCTCCGTGGCTCGTCTGCCAGAGACAAGAGCAAGCCTGTGAAGTGTGTCTCCATGAGTGCTGGCTGCAGCTCAGTAGGAAGCACGAGAAGGACTTCACGGTGTGGAAAAAAGCCCATGATACAAGCCAGGATTCTCATGCCCTGGCACTTCAAAAGTCCCAATCCCCATATATAAGGCAAGGAATGCAGGGAACTCATGGCTTCCCCTGCCCTACCACCAATAGGTTCCTACAAGCCAGTGGTGCCCAACCTTTCCTGCCTGAGCACCAAATATGTTATTTCATAAAGGTCAGGGAGCCCCAATTAAGATTTTAGGGCATATTCTCCATCATGCTCCACTCCATTTGTGATGCAAAGGGAAGAGAAACCAATTACAATCCCCTAATGGGGATTCCCTCAGTATGGGGGAGACCCCAGTAGGCACAGAGTCAGCATATTTGACTCTTTCACCTCCCTTCTGACAGCTCCTAGTGCATGGATTATGTATAGGAGTGATTGGTATGGTCTGCATTCCAGCTATCCTCAGCCGGCATATGGTCTCTAAGGCACCATAGACAGCTGGGGAAAGTTAGAGCAGTCCTTAGGCTGTACTGGAGCAGAGAATCTGGGACCCATAATTGGTTGTTGGGTCTCAGCTTCGACTCTTTTTCCTCCTCTCCTGGGTTTCTTGGTGTGTGTGAGGAGAGCCATCCTCTGGGGTCAGGTAGTGCCAGTAAAGCACTCTCTTGGGCTTCCACAGCCTGTCAGGGAAGCAACAACATAGTAGCCAGAACTACTTTCCTCTCATGCAGCATAGCTGATGGCCAAAGGGAAGCTGCTGAGCAACCACAATAGGGAAGGAAGATGCTCAGACCCCCTTGGGCCCACACCAGGGCTGCTCCAGGTGTCCTCTCCTTCCTCCTCATATCAACAGGGCTGATTCAGACATTTCAGATTAAAAATCACAGGGTGTGGCTCAAGGAGCACTCTTCCCATTCATAATCAAATACACGTTTTCTTCCTAACAGTCACCTTTGACAGCCACCATGTCAAGCCTCCAGGGCCAGACCACAGGTTGGACACTGCTGACGCAAGCTAGGAATGGCTCCCTGTTTTCTCATGATGGTAGTGCATTGTACCAAAGGATTCCATTTCTGAGAGACTCTGGTCTCAAATCCCTTTATCAGTGAGTCCTTTAAAGTGTGGTGTTACTGTTTGACATAGATATTTTTGGTCCTGGTCCTCAAGTGCTGTAAATTGGTATGTTGACATTGAAATCGCTGGAGCTATGGCAATTTAAACCATCTGAGGATCTGGCCCTTTATTTTCATGTCCTCCCCACCATTGGGATTTTTTAAAAATAAAGGATGATAGAAAGTTATAACAAGAGCCAGGCCCAAACCCTCCCCTGACAGACGCAAATCTGTATCTACTGTCTTACATTCATCTCTATTCATATTATTAAGAATTCACCACAAAATAAATATCGAGTCTGGACTGCAGTCAAGTGTCTTGGAGAGAGGCCCAAATTCAGCAAACGTGGAGCAAGTTTCAAATAGAAATTAAGCACCATGCCAAAATAGGGTGCACATTCCTGGGCCACCAGTGCATGACTTAGGCTTTGTGGCTCACAACATGCCTGAGGTATGCAGCAATAGCCTAAGAGTTCACATCCTGTTGGATCTAATTGCTCTGCTTTCTTTGCCTTTTATTAATTGTTCCCGTTCCAATTCAGCTACTTCAAACTGGGAAATAATTGATTGAGTAAACAGTCCCTTGCCACTAACAGAAGTCTTCAATTACTGCTCATGATATAGGGATATTTTGGAAATGATGCAGTTCAAAACTCTTCAGTCATTATTTGTACAGTTCCCAACGGTTGGTATTAAAAAAGGTTGAGGAGAGTTAATACATTGACATCATATGGTTTGCTTGGGGAGTGGTCCAATTGTGGTCAAAAAGACCAGGCCACAGTCCCCTTTGTGCCAGCTGATAAGGAGATTCTGAGGAGTCTGGGGAAGGGGTGATCTCAAGGAATGTTTCAGTTATTGATAAGAGGCTGGCTCTCTCTTCATCTGAGATATTGGGTCTTTTATTCCACACCAGTTTTCTTGAATATTAGTATTGCAGTGGCTAAGGTGGCATTGGAGGGATCTGAAGCACTCTAAGAGCTACTAGACAGATTAGAAAAGACTCTTCAGAACCTTTATCAGCTCAGGGATCTTGCACTTGCCACATAATGATATTATTGCCACATTCAGGACTCTGAAGGACTGTGACCAGCTGCTCCATCTTTCATCGGGAAGGGGCTTGAAAATTCCTCGTGTCATAGCATTGGTTCCCGGTCAACCATTTCACTTCCTTTTGGGTCTTCCTCTCCCTCTCCCCCCACATATCATTAAGGACTGTCTCATTTCCTTTCATGGATGAGAGGGACAGGTCAGATCCACTTACCACATATCACATTTTTTAAAATGCGTGACCCACCTAGTAACTGTTGTTAGGCAGAGAATGTGGGGGAAATCCTGGCCCCATTGAAGTTAACAGCAAAACTTTCACTGCGTTCCTTTTAATATCATCACAGAGGGATTGCTGATAAACAAATGAGACATTTTAACTTTGTTCTTTTCATCTCCATTTGAAACACAGAGAAGCATCAGTGTTTGACCCAGTGGTGAAGAGATTTTATTGTCAAGTTTCTAAGAGGACATCACAATGGAGAGTAAAATAAGTAAGAATTGTTAAATATTGCTTTACAGAGAACTCACAGCTACAGCAAAATACTCTTATATAAAATAACTATTGGGTAAATAACTTGTCCCATAACAAACTGTCAAATGCAAAACACAACATCCCATCATTCCAAAGCCCTGTATGTCAACTGCAGCAAAACAGATCTGCACAGAATACGTATTTGCAACTTGTCACATTGTATCTATCACAGTTACCTTTCTGTGCAAAACGGAGTGCTAAATAAATACAAAATGGCAGTGAATGTGACTAAGTGGGCACAGATTAAATATAAGAACAACAAACATAAATCAAATATATACAATATGATGTGACAGAAATATGAGCTGAGGAAAAATCCAGTTAGCAAACACAGGGCCCAATCATGCTGCCATTGACTTCAGTGGGAGGAGACTCTAGAAGGAGATATACCAAAAACTTTAGAGTCAAATTCTGCTCTTAGTGTGGTTACTCAGGAATTATCTAGGGGTAGGTTTATAAAGGCACAGGTATTCAACTCCCATTGACTTTGAATGGGAGGTATGGCAATTGAGACTTTAAAAATCTCCCCTATACTGGTGAAAAAGGTCTCATTTCACTACAGCAACAAGATTGGAAGAGCTAATATGAGTCAAAATACTTTAGGGAAAAATTAGAGATAAAATGTAAAGTTCATGATAAACCAGACAAAACAAATTGTTCAAAACAGGTAGCAGTATAAAATTATAGCCCCCTCTAATTAAAATAGGAGAGTAGTAAATTGGAGGAGGGAGTGTTGAGTTGGAGAAGAAACAGAGAGCTCCCATTGATATCAATAGAGAATTCTACATTGAAGGACCTATTCTCATCTCCAAGCACATGTGTAACTCTCATTGACAATAGAGAGAATTAGGCCCCTTACAGTTATTCAGCTAAATATGTTACACTCATAAAGTCATATTTTAAAAGATGCATTGAAGGCCTCACCCTACAAATACTCCCACTGAGCCTGGTGTTTTGTACCTCAGGTAGTCTATTCTTGGTAGTAAGAGCTTACAGAATCCTTACACAGCATCCTTCACACACTGGGGTAAATCCTGGCTTGACTGAAGTCATGAACTTGAACTGGGTCAGGATTTTTTCACCCATGGATTGCAGGACACTTTGCAATACAAAATATTAAAATTTAATTACATCTATTTTAACAGTCAAAAGCAGCAGCAAATAAAATGTCTTTTACTTAGATTGTGCCGAGAGAGAGAGAGATAGGTTGTATAGATATAGTTGTATAGATTTTAAGGCCAGAAGGGATTCATTAGATTATCTAGTCTGACCCCTGTATTATACAGTCCACAGAATTTCAGCCAGTTTCCCCTGTATTGAACCCAATAACTTGCGTTTGACTAATGCATATCATCTAGAAAGGCATCCAGTCTTGATCTGAAGACACCATGAAATGAAGAATGCACCACTTCCTTTGGCAGTTTGTTCAATAGCTAATCACCCTCACTGTTAAAAAATTGTGTGTTATTTCTAATTTGAATTTGTCTGAATTTAACTTCCATCCATTGGTCCTTATTATGCCTTTCTCTGCTAAAAAGCCCTTTAAGTGGTCAGTATTTTCTCCCTGTGAAGGTACTTCACACATTGTAATCAAGTCACCTATCATTTTCTTTTTTGCTAAACTAAACAGGTTGACTTCTTTAAGTCTCTCACTGTAAGGCAGTTTCTCCAGCCCTTGAATCATGTTAAAGCTCTTCTTTTTTTCAAAGGGTGGGCACCAGAACTGGATGCAGTATGCCTATATCAGTCTCGCCAAAGCTCTGTACAAAGGTACAATCACTTCCCTATTCCCACCCACTACTCACATTTTACATTCAAGGATCACATTAGCCCTTTTTGCCACACTGTTGTATTGGGAACTCATGTTAACTCGCTTGTCCTATTTGACCCCTATATCCTTTTTAGAGTCATTGCTTTCCAGGATACAGTCTCTCAAATTCAGCATCCGTGTAAATCTGGAGTATCCCCAGTGAAATCAATTACATCTGTAATTAAAAACAGAATTTAGCCTTATAATGCTTTAAAATAACAGAGTAAGGAAATGTTTTAACATATTTGGTTAAGACTATAAGTGGGAAACAATGGCTGATAAGAATTATTTGTGACAGGCTATGCAATGTTAGAAAGATATTTTACAAAAACTTCTTTGCAACAACTATTGTGCAATGAGATATTTCAAGGCTCTGCCCTCAACCCTCTTTTGCCATTTGAGGCAGACTCAGAATTAGTAGGTATAAATGACTGGATTGGATTGATTTGATCTGACAGCTTCCCAAACTTGAATAGCACATGTCACTCACCAACAACAGGGTTGGATTTCAGAGATAATCCTGTAATGAGGGGCTACAAAATCATTGTGGATAGGGTAGAGGTAGAGCATCTAGCCTGATGACCTCCTGATTCTGAGGCAGCACCAGCTCTAGGGTTCTCACTGCTTTAGGCAAAGTGGAAGACTTAGCCCCACCCACAGGCATTCACACACCAATTTAGAGTAGCTAAGCACTTTGCTGCACTTGGACATTGACTGGCTGTTTTACCTTTCTTTACAGAGCTGGCAGTGTCCTGAAGCAGAAATCTTAGCTCATCCCTGAGTTTGCATTTCTTTTCTTTCTGTTTCTGTTTTTGTCCCCTCCACCTATTTATTATTTATCACTTGTACTAATTATTATTACTGTTCCTGTACTATTATTGTTTAATATTTATATTACCACCCAAAACACCAATCTGGATTGGAGCCCTGTTGTTCCAGGCATTGTACAAACACAGAGGTAAAAACAGTCTTTGTCCCAACAAGATTGCAATCTAATTTGAACCAAGATGCAACCAGGGCATGAGCCATCACCAATGAAGTCAATGGGACTTTTGCCATTGATTACAACGGGAACCCGATCTAATCCGCAATGAGCATAGAAAATAATAGGAGGTGAGAGAGACTGAAGGTAATGTTTGCACAGTCACATAGCTGGCTTAACACACAACTTGATGGAGGTATTATTTTGTGAAGAAATAAATAGTATCAGCTGCCCCAACTGACCATCACCTTGGCCCTCCTTAGTTGGCTGATTTCTTGTAGCCGTCACAGGAGAAGTGGGTCTTGGGGAGGGATTTTATGGCTTAGTTGAGGAAGGGTCTTCCATGCATAATGGGCAGCATGGAAGAAGGTGCAGAGACATTTGTGGGAGAAGTGGACAAACAGGCTAGTGTCAGGACTGCCTCTGATCTGAATTTAAGTCTTTCTAATTGCACTAGACTTAAATCTTCCTGTGACCTTCCTTTAGAACCCACAGCTTTCACAGGACATTATGCTGGCATAGAGATGCAGCACTGCACTCTTTGAGAAACGGTTCTTGATTATGGATCTCACCTCTGAGGTTTTAGTGGGCTAGGCTCTCGACCTCTGTATTCAAGACTGAAGACATTTACTAGAGCATATTGGTGGCCTCTCTCTAGGTGAGACTCAGTGGTTGTTGTCTTTTAAGGTTTATATTTGAGAAGTGTTGGATTAGTTACTGTTTCTTGCATGGGTTGTGTAGGATTTTGTATGTGTTCCTCCTCTGGTATTTATTTCATTTGGCCTATGGGGGGTGCGGGAAGCAGCGGCCAATCCGCTGGCAGGCCGGAACGGTTTGTTTACCTGCAGCGTCCGCAGGTTCGGCTGATCACAGCTCCCACTGGCCGCGGTTTGCCGGGTTCCAGGCCAATGGGGGTGGCGGGAAGCGGCGTGGGCCCATGGATGTGCTGGCCACCGTCCCAGCCCAACAGGAGCTTTCCATGATGGGCCACGTGCCAAAGGTTGCCGATCTCTGGTCTAATAAACACACTAGCTTCAAACTATTAACTCTTTTCTCTCTTAGTTTTCAGAAGTGAGGATTCTCTCTTATATGTTTGGTCTCACTAAACACAGGCAGCCCCAACTTTGAGGAGCAGGAAATGAAGACAGCTTCATAAATTCAGGAACATTGGGCCAAATTCAGGCCTGGTGTAAGTGGGTGCAACTCTACAAAAGTCAGAAAGGCTGCTCCATTTACACTATAGTTGTCTCTGCTCTCTTTTTTCTCTTTGGTTTTGAAAGGTGCAGAGAACTGTTTTATGTACCTCCATATGAAGTAGGACAGCAGGATTTACTTCCAACCTTTAAAGATGACTTACAAAAGAAACTTGAAAATTGAATTTAGGCCCTGATCCAGTGAGGTATTTAAACATGTTTAACTTGAAGTCAATCAGACTATGCATGTGGATACTGTCACAGGTTGCAGTCAGGCATAGAGGAATCTGTTGACATTCTAATGTGGGAGGTGGGTTCTTCCTGAAGAAGAATTACAAAGAGGTAATACAGACAGAAGTCATCTCCCTTGGCTAACAGTTATGTTTCACTGCTTGGCCAGGGAAAAGAGAGCCCCATCAGGCTAACAGTTCCACACCCATCACACCCCAGCCTCTGTGACTGATAAATAAATAATAGCAACTGCAAGGCGAGAACCACTCTCCCTCCACCCCCTGACACACACTTCAACTGGTTGATCCCTAACATACAGTGGAGGGCTGCCCTTCCACCACCCCGGTCCCCTAGTGATCAGATTCAGGAGGAAGAGCTCCCCACAGTCACTCATCGACATGGAGTAAGAGTGGGAAAGACCTTCAAAAATACTTGTATGTTTCATTAAAAAGAAGATAGCCCATTTTCTGCTTTTGGAGACAAACAAGGGGCTAACTCTAATGCTAGGGCTGTAATAAAGACCTCAGCAGAAGGGATGATGGATGAAACCATAAAAAAAAAATGTAGTGCCTGGGATGCAGGTTCTATGAACTCTTCTCCCCTTCAGCAGTTAAACTCCCAGAGGCAGGGTTTTTGTTGTTGTTGTTTATTGATTCTATTTTCCTTAGACAGGTTGGTTCATCACTTTCCCAGATCATGCAGCCTACTGGAGTGGGGAGCCAGGTGCAGCCCTATTGACAGGAGCCAAGGGAGCAGCTGCTGTGGGGTGAGTTTCTCATTTTATGTCACTTTAATTGTGGTTTTTCATTTTATTTCATGTTATTCTGCATTTGCAAGAAACATCGGGCTCTACCAATGTGCCCCAAATAGTAGCTTCTTCGGGGCCCTTCGTGTAGTTTCAGAATGCCACCGCTTACTGAAAACAAAAGCAGCTTCAACTGGCAGCAAGTACAAGGTACACACACATTACACTCTCAATTATTGCTCTACTGCACCAGGTGTATCTAGCACACACTGCAAAGCAGGCAGAGATTAATGTAGTGTAACAGTTTAATTATCCTAGTGTATATGAAATCATAGGATCTTATCTTGCAACCCTTGATCATGTGATCTTCTAGCTGAAATCAAGTGAAGGTTTGCAGGATTGAACATGACTAAGGGTATGGTTACACTACAGAGACTATACTAGCATAGTTAGGTCACCATACCTATGCCAGCATAATCCCGTAGTGTAGATTCAGTTTACGCTGACTGAAGGGATTTTTCCATCAATATAGGAATACCAGCTCCTTGAACGACAGTGGCTCCATCAATGGATGTGTTCTTCCATCAGTAGAGCTGCATCTACAGTGCAGGTTAGGTTGGCATAGCTATGCCATTCAGGAGTGTGGTTTTTTTCAGGCTCCTGACCGACGCAGCTATGTCAACCTATTGTAGACCAAGTCTAAATGTAGACCAGGTCTAAGAATTTGCAGAATCAGCCCCTCAATGATTTTAATATACTTATTGATTTCACTTTTGTGATTTTGTACATACCCAGTAGTAAAGATTTCCCTTCCATTTCCATATGAATGTAGTACATGCTTGGTTCTTCTCAATTAAAATAATATAGTGAATGTCTATGATACTTTGATATGTAAAAATTCAGCTGAAGAATACTGCTCCATTAACTGCCGGTGTTGTTTTGTGGCCTATGAATATCAAGATACTGTAAAATGTTTAACTGTTTGCATGATAAAAACCTATAGGTTCTTTGTGAAAAAGGTGAGTAGATTTCTATGCCTAGGATGATTTATACTCATTGGAAGTTCTGAGATTGTTGAAGCAGTGTTGGTGGTCTGAAAAATCTCCCCAAAGCCTGAGCTTAGGCAGGTATGGTGGTGTAACACTGCACTTACCCCTGACTGTGGAATTTGTGTAAATACACTACTGAGTCCTTGATTAGATCATGACTGGAAACTAAACCAAACTATCACACAGCAGGATTTTAAAATACCTGAAAAGATTTCAGAGTCACCATTAATAGCATCTGGATAGGTAACTATGTTCATGACCATTCAAAGAGAAAACAAAACCTGGCCACACAGATGAAGACAGGAAACCCAGAGATGCAGCTTGACATAGGGAATAGAAGGAAATTCCCACAGGTCTCTTTTGAGAAAATTCTAAGCTTTTTCCATCCCCACCCCACCCCCGCCCCTAAGGTTTAGCACATCCATGTAATACTAACCTTTCTCCCCTATAAAAGAGTTTTGGAAATCTGCTGTTCTGTCTAGCTCTGGTCACTGCTTCCTGAATCTTTGGCTGAAGTTCTGATTTCCTGGTCATCAGGCTTATAACATGATTGCTGCCTGCTTCTTTATTTCACACTGAAATGCTTTATACATGGGGCACTTTAAAGACATTATGATTAAAGATTTGAGCCTTGATTCTGCAAAGACACACATACAAAACTTTATACACTATGAGTAGTCCACAATGGATACTAAAGTGAAGTATTGTAGCAGAGGCAAAAAGCTTAGAAGGTCATGTACATTGGTAAATGAAGTGTCCCACTCAGGTTCTGTGAACTCCAAAATTGTCTTTTTGATTCATTAGGACATAGGCTTGAAAGGGACCTCCTTGGTCAGAGAGTCCTGTCCCTTTCTATTTTAGACAACCCCGTCATCATAATACTGTTCATAAATGCATCAAGCACCATCTTAAAATCAATTAGGTTGTTTGCTCCCACTACTCCTATTGGAAGGTTGCTCAAGAACCTCACTCCTCTGGTAGTTAGAAACCTAATTTCCAGGCAAATTTATTCATGGCTAGATTATACCCATTTGTTCTTGTGCCAACATCAACCTTTAGCTTCCAAAACTCTTCTCTCTCCTTGGTGTTTACCCCCATGATGTATTTAAAGAGACCAATAATATCCCACGCAGCCTTCATTTTGCTAGCCTCAACAAGCCAAGCTCTTTTAGACTGCTTTTGTAAGAGGAGGCTCATTAACCACTTATCCGCCATTTTCATTCACCAGGTCCCACAATGGGACTATCTACAGTGTGTGAAGTGTGATTTTGTGTGGGATCAAGCGAATGGTCGACTGGATTTTTTCTTCAGACATATGATTAATAAGGTTTTTTTAAAAATTGTCATTGGCAAGTATGGTATGTTTATCCTCCCTTAAAAAAACGTTATTTTAGAAAAAGAGAATGAACACAAATGCACTTACAAATGCCAATTGTGTGGCAGCAGTTATATGTCAGCAGCTAACGCATTACAAAAAGGCCCATTGACTTTTATGGGAACAGCGGCTCTGTAAAGTGCCAAAGTGACAGCGACCTGCCACAGCCACGGTGCCAACAGCCAACAATATAACCAATCCCTAAGCAGGGCTTTTGAAGCTGAGGCCCATGAGGAAGCTGAGGACATGCTCAGTCACTGCCATTATGCTTTCAGCACCTATAAGCATCTCTTTTTTGAGTTGATAATTACAACATCCTGTGCCAAGCAGCTGTCACTAAGGAGCAGGAGCTGCCCAAACACACCATAATGCAAGTTTGCTGGCTGATTTATCACACTATAATGAACTCAGTTACAGACTTCTGAAGCATGGGATAGAGAAAGAAAGAGACTGAGAGAAAAAGCACTGAGCGTTTTGTTCTGGTCAAGTTAAAAAAAAAAAGGGAAAATATCAGATTTTTTTATCTATGCATGCCCACCCACAGCCGCAGTCCACCGTTGCAGCCACAGCCCACCCAAGGCATGTATCCATGGAGGCACAGAGATCCAACCTCCATGTGGATATGAGACCTCCCTGAATGTCAGCATGCACGTGTAAGAGGGGGAAATGTAAAGAGGAATGGCAGGAATGGCTGAATGAACTTTACTCGAGCTCTGACTTACTAGGCCGATATAATGGACATGACCTAAAAGAAAGTGTTACGCTCATAATCAAGCTAAGTTGGCAGCTCTGACCAATTATGGACAGTTGATTTTATGGTGATGGCCAGAACACATGTATTATCTTCTATAAAAGCTTCATCAGTGTGACCATAAATCATAGTCACCTCTCTCCCTTTTACTCTTCATTCCTGAAGAATAGTTGCACTTGAATCTTCTGTAACACTCAGTGCAGACTCAACTGAATGTAAATGCGACTCCTGGGTCTCTTCAAGCGAGCAAAATGTGTGAACCAGGGAAGACCTTCTCCTGCCTATCATCTATATGGCTGTTGTCATTTTTAATACTTCCACTGCCTCACTACAACTGTTGTACAGCATGACATTACAGTACAGTTAAAGTCTCTGTAATCAGGAAGCACAGCAAATGGGTACAAATGTAGGTCTTTCTCTCTTGATCCTTTTGAATTTAAAACCTTACATACAGCAATATGTACCAGCTGGGTTCCTTTACCCCATATTTAGTTACTTTGTTCTGGCATTTTATGGACCAGTAACTTCATAAACAGTAATAACTAGTTGTTATGTGTAACCAGTTAGGAGTAATGCAAGTCAAGTGGGGGAGTTTATCACTAAGAGAAATATAAGGTACTGTAGTTTTTATTGTTACCAGTAAAACAGCTGGATTTTTGGTATAATTCACTCTGAACTGGCACTTGCAGCTAAGGAAATGGAATTTGCGTATTTATAGCGAACACAGACTGTACTAAGTCAAATCACTGAGGTAAATGAAGCACCTAGTTATTATTCAGTCTAACAGAGAGGTGTCATCATGGTAGATTAATAGAATCATTTACAAAGCTTTATAAGTGATTCAGGGCTCTCCTGTCCCCTTCAAATGTTACCAGGAGTAGAAAGGGGGAGTTTGAAGTTGGCCTCAGGAAAGGCTGCTCCATTTAGCATGCTTTTTGTGGCAGTACATGATAAAGAAGCGGACGCTTCATTTTATCTTTTATACTCCAACAACCAGAATGTACCTCAAACTATTTCTAGTCTAGCGGAGTTTTAAAGAGAATGGGAAGGGGTTAGAAGCTAAAACAACTATTTACAGACCATTTAAAGTGGTCTCTGTAATGTCCTTCCGCAAACATATCTTAAAATTGAACTATAGTTTAGTGTGTTGATATAATCATTGTTTTGGTCATACTGGCTCCCTTAAACATTTCCTTAGACATGAGAATAGTAACTCAGCTGCCTGTTTCAAAAATGCAAAATCCAAAAATATTTACTAATCTGCATTTTCCTTACAGACAAAATATAGAGAAGCTATATTGTTGACTGTGACTGTATAGAAGCCTAGACAGACACACAGAGCAGGGGATTTGGAGTCATAACTCCAAGGTTCTATTACCAACTCTGCCAGTGACTCATATATAGCCTTGGGTGGATCCTTTAATCTTTCTATGTCTCATTTTCCCCATCTGGAAAATGGGGATGATAATGGTTGCTTACTTAGCTGACAGGAGGATGGTGAGGGTTTTTTGAGGGTTAATTAGACAATGTTTATACAGGGCTTTGAAGATCTAAGTATTAAGTACTATAATAATTTGAAGCTCTTATATAACATTCTGTTTTCAAAACAATGGTTTAAATTCCTTCTTGGTAAAGTGCCACTAACTTCAATGCCTTCATAGAGAAGATTGAACATATACTAAGCTACAGTATATGGTTTCATTCATTTTTATGTTTGTAGATCTTCTGACTTCGGAGAGAAGTTTTAAATGTATTAAAATACATTCAGAGATAAGAACAAATGGAACAACAAAATATCTCTTACAAAAGGATTTTACAACACTGTTGCCTTTTACATTTCCATCACTGTTATCTGACACAAGATAGGGCCCAATCCTGTTCTCAATTACATGGGGTAAATCAGGAGTAATTTCCACTGAAATCTGGAGTTATTCCAGATTTACCTCCATGTCTCTGACAGGAGAATCTGGCCCAAATCTTGAAAGTACTAAGAAATTCAGAGTATCATACAAAAAGAAATCTGCCATGCATCCAAAGAAAATCATGCTAAGTCTGTTGCTTTGTTAATTGTGAAACATTATTCTCTTATTCCAGTATTCAGGTGTTGGTTTACAGTCTTTTATATATCATTCTGGGAAGAAATAAACAAACCTAATATTATACATCCAGCACTCCAAAAAACTGTTGATATATTTTCTCTTCCATACCTTTGTAAAAGTAAACAAGTCAAGATTTCTGAATAGAAGTGCCTGGAATGCTTCTCTCTCACAGTATTCCAATGTGGTAGGTCTTCAGGCTTCAGATTCTGAAAAAGTCCTGTTGTTACGGAAACTGGGAAGATGATAAAGATGCATTCCAATGGTGGCAATTCAGCCTTGACACATTTCTTACAGGTGAGGTGAATCTTCTCAGTGGATGGACCTCTTCCTTTTCTTTCAACAAAATTGTTGACCAGAGTTCTCTTAAAAGTAGTCTTGCTTCTCACAAGCAGAGTAGCTATAGGCAATCTGGGAAGAATGCATATATTTTGTGGTACTGAGAAGAGAGTGATCTGATTCTAAGAACAGATGGGCAAGACTCAGAGACCCAGCTCAGAATATCCCATAACTCTTCATCTCCAACTCTGGACTTCTGTGGTTCAGACCCATCTCTAGTAAGACAGCCTGATCCAATTTCCATTAAAATCAATGAGAATCTTTTCATTGACCTCTGTGGGAGTTGGATGAGACCCATAATGGCCAATCTAACAAAGGATCACAAGAGGTACAGCTTGCTGAAGACAAAATATCCTGATTACCTTGAGAAGTTATTTTCTTGAGCCAAAAGGAAATAACAGAAAGAAGGAATTAACCACATGTTATTGATATATGAGGTTTGTCATTGGTCAGGCAGGAAAGTGAGAATTCTTTTCAGCACAGGTTAGTGTCTGCAATGAGAAGTGTCAGGGTGAATTGCTGAAGGCGGATGGGATTGAAAAAGGGAAGCAGAGGAAAGATTAAATATGGAAAGGGTGAAGTATCATGAACCCTGGATAAAAGGGAAAAGAGGATGACTAAGCCATTCCAGTTCAAAAGAAAGGAAATCTCTGGACCTCAGTTGATTTGTAGCACTAATCAGATTTCCTCCCATTTTCCCACTTAAGCATTTTAGATACTGTTAATTTAGATTCATTAATCTTGAACAGCCTGTAGCAGCTGCTCAGCAACTGGCCAAACATCTGTCTAGAGAAAGTTCCAATCTGTGAGTTTGCACACCACTCTGATAAAATACTGTCCATAATTCAACAAGAAATTGTCTATTTCCCTGCATCATAACTAATGTAATAGCTGCTTGTTGTTGCAGCCTTGACCTTCTCTTTTATGCTGGACAACCATTTTTTTTGGGGGGGGGGGGAAGGATGTTGTAGAAAAAAAGACAGAAACTTTTTCTAGCTTATTATTCACAACTTCTTAGTGACTACGCTTTATTTTTGACGTGACACATGGCACAACTGCCTGCCTGATGGAAACACTTCTGCGTCCCATTTGGTTATTGATCCTACATCTTCAAAAGTCTGTGACTCTTATAGAGGTTTGGCAGGTTCAGTTCCTTCATCCTCCCTCCCCCTCAGCTGCAGCATGACAACACTTGCTAGTTCACAAGTGGTGGCTGTTGGCTTGGACATTAGATATGGATCTGGAAAGATTACAGAATTTTGCAATAAATTCATCATGATCAAGCAGTAACGGTTAAAGCATTCATTATCCTCGCCAAAGGAATAAGAAAAAACAGGTCTTCACATTTCTGATATCCTGTTGCATCAATGAACAGGCTGCAACAAGCAGAGAAAGTGTGAGCATGTGCTTCAAGGTCTTTTCAGGTGCTATGGTACAGTTTCTTATGGAAAAATCCTTGTTCTGTATGGTGTTTTTCCTGCCTCACTTGGGGATGGCAGAATCGTTCCTTGTGTCACCTGAGAAACCGGGATGTCAGTTTCCACCTATTGGTGAGAAAGAAACTGATCAACAGCAGAATTCAACTGAAAATCTCCTTGGGTAGAACTTTCTGATTTTGAGGCCAATGGGAATGTTATACCAGAGTGGAAGGATGGTTTTGGCTGAGGTGCTGGATTGAAAATCAGGAGATCTGGCTTCAATTCCTGGGTCTACCACAGATTTCCTGTGTGACCTTGGGCAAGGCATTTAACCTCTACATGCCTCAGTTCCCCATCTGTAAAATGGGGACAATAAATCTTCCTTCCCTCATCCTTTGTCTTGTCCATTCAGCCCTGATTCAGCAATTTGTTGCATGCAGGCTCAACAATCGGACAGAGGGCAAAGGACTGCAGGATCAGGGCCTTAGCTTTTAAGCTCTTTGAGGCAGGGACTACCTGTTAGTATATGTGAGTATAATGCCTAACACAATGAGGCCCAGATCTTGGTTGGGGCCTCAAGGTGCTAATATAATGCAAACAAGAAGTAATAGATAATAATGAATTGTGCTTTCCTCTCCTCTTAAGGAAAAGAATGTCAATACAGACAAGAAGGAAAAACCCCAGCATTACTGAATAGTCAAGCACAAGAAAATATATTTGCCTCTTATAGGATAAGTGTAATCTATTTTTCCCATAGAGTGTACCAAATATATTGCACAGAGACTCAATATAAATACTGCATGATAGAGTTATGATAGTGGTAAAAGTAACTGGAGGGAAGGCATTTTCATTATGAGCCCTAATTTCAGGGATTAATTAAGAACATTTATATTTTGGGCTGACATTTCTCCTGCTGGAATTTCTCCCCCCAATCCAAATGTAAGTTATTTGTTGTTTGGTTTGGTTTATTTTGAAAGTGTAGTAAAATTCCATTTTGTCATTTTTTATTTATTGTAATGTAAAGTAATAGATAATAGTTATAGTTATAGCATTTTTTGCTATCAGATAACTCAAAATTAGTTTCCTTAAAACTTCAAACTTGCCACAAGCTTAGGTTATGACGATGGCAGATGCCTTATCTGAAGAAATTTAGTTTGAAGATAATAAATATATAAGCACTTTAAAAAGACAGTCCCTCACTACCTTCTAACAACATTCTGGGATGCAGGGTGTTAACCCAGATACACAGGGGTGTATAAAAACAATGAGGAGTCCTTGTGGCACCTTAGAGACTAACAAATTTATTTGGGCATAAGCTTTGTGGGCTATAACCCACTTCATCAGATGCATGGAGTGGAAAATACAGTAAGCAGGTATAAATATACAGCACATGAAAAGATGGGAGTTGCCTTACCAAGTTGGGGGTCAGTGCTAATGAGGCCAATTCAATTAGCACTGACCCCCAACTTGGTAAGACAACTCCCATCTTTTCATGTGCTGTATATTTATACCTGTTTACTGTATTTTCCACTCCATGCATCTGATGAAGTGGGTTATAGCCCACAAAGCTTATGCCCAAATAAATTTGTTAGTCTCTAAGGTGCCACAAGGACTCCTCATTGTTTTTACTGATACAGACTAACACTAACCTGACACAAATGTGTGTGCATCTATTTCAATGTGCAATAGTGTGATTGCCCTCAGTGGACCAAATTTTCTGCTGGTTTAAATGGGCACAGCTCCATCAACTTCAATGGAGTGTCATCCTTGAAAACCAAAAGATCTGGCCCAGTATGACAGCATATGTAAATATATACAACCACATTTTAAATGGTTTCTCCTACCTCAACAAAAGAACAAAGAAATTAAAGGAAAATAAGTGTAATAATGCGACACTTTTCATATTTTAAAAAGTATAAATGTCAGGACATTCATAATTATGGTTCTCAGCATTAAGCCCTGGGTAAGGCTGGTTAATATTATTTTATTGAACAATTTCCCACTGTAAAATGTATCTTAATTGAAATAGACATTCTCTGCAGGAAAATCTTGAGTTCAATTACACTTTTTGATTTTCCAGTTGAAAGAATCAAAACAAATTTTCATGTTTGGAATCAACATTTCAAAATGAAATAAGATTTTTGGTTAAAAAAAGGTGATTAAGAAGAAAGAAATCCATTTCGTAATATTTATTTGAAATGAAAATTTCATTTAAAAATGGTGACTCATTTCAATTTTGTTGAAAATGTCCAATTTCCATGTCAACATTTCCAATTTGAAATTTCTGGGAATTTTTGTTTCATGAAAATGGCCAATGTTTCGACTTTTGTTCTGCTTTGAAATGGAAAGTAACTTTGAAATGTTGAAATTTCCCATGAAAGGAAAAGTTTGTGTTTTGAACAGCTTTACTTCTGTGCATTTAAAATCTCAGCTGTAACATATTATTAACACACAGATTTGGGAAGAGGTTGTGCTGAATATGAAATAATACAGTAAAGTCTAGATTATCCTAGTCCTAGATGAATACACAGGAGAAAAGAAGATATAAGGAGCCTACTTCCTCTGTCTCTTTGCATTTTTATGTAGGAACCAAGCACTCCAGGCTTCCAGCACACAAGGGGTGGATGCCACGCCTGAAAAAAGAAGCATGCAGGAAGATCTCTACACCAGTATGGAGTTCCACTAACTTCAATCAGAATGAGTTTTTCTCAATTTTATCCAGCAATCGCTTCCTCTGGACTGCTAATAAGCAAAGAAAATTTCATCTCTAAAGAACTCTGTTTGGAAAATTATGTGCGACTGTAAAGGGGCTGGGAATGGAAGCCAGAACTCAGCATTAATTGTGCCAGGCATCAACAGCAAAAATTGTTAGCATCATTGGGTAAAAGCAAGAGAAGGGCTTGAACCAAAAACCAAGATTTGGAATACATCTGAACGCTGATAGACTTTGTATCCACATCTGAACATTGTGACTCAAATCCATGTCCAGTGAAAATCTGTTATTCTCCACAAGTGAAAATGAAAGCAGTCAAAAACACGGGTTTTGAAATTTAGCTTTGCATGCTGGAAATATGTATCAATATATAAGCCCTGCATATAAGCATGGTCTTCCCTTTCACTGAGACAGTACATGCACCTGTTATTCCAATAAAATAACAGAACTTTGGTACAGAATAGTAACTTTTTGTGTTAATCCCTCTTTTTTGGCTTATGATGAATACTGGGCCTTATTGTTCCTCATTCAGTGTTGCCACTGTTTTTCATACACATTAATAAAACAAAGAAAATCTTGCAGCAGCTCTTATCTACATTTCTATTACTACTGCAAGTCATGAATATTTTCTGAAATCCCAGCTAATTAATTTAAGCATCTGAACCAATGATTTTCCCTTTGTTGTTAAGTTTCTCTTACTCCATGCCCCCTGAGCAGTCACCACTCTTTCCTCACAGACATCTCCTGTGGCATAGCTGGGGGCAGAGGGAAAAATAATAATAAAAAACCTTAAGAGCTTTTTGTTCCTCTGCTGTCCTGTACTTTATTGATCCTCGCATACTCCCCAAGTTCAGAGACATTTTATAATCATGACCATAAATGAATACCATCAGGGATTCAAGGGGACTTCCCTCTTTAATATTCAGAGAGACAATAAACTTCAGTTTAAAAGCTATAAAGCCATATCAACATGTGGTTGAAGCTACAGATATAAGGCCCTGCCACACTGACCTCCATTTCCCTTAATTGTGGCCAGAGTTCTGGCTCTGCAGAAAAGTGGCTAGAATTTCCTTCATAACCTGACCAGCACATTCAATTATCTGGCTGTCAGGATGAAATGCAGGCGGGAAGGAAAGCAGCAAAGAGCAATTAAATTCATTCCTGTGAAAGGCAATTAAAAAGACCTTTAATCAAACACTACAGCTGTTAACAAGTCAGGTAATGTATCAAAAGCAATGGTAACTCTCCCAAATTCTTTTGCTTCTGAACCCCAAATTCGTCTGTCATATTATCAGGGAAGGTAGAAAGCTATTTAGTAACTTTAATTTCCTGAACTTTGGAGTGGTACAGCTGCGAAGTATTGCCATAATTGGAGACATAATGATATGAAGAGTAATTGACCACTAGGCCTGCCCTTTTGTCTTTCTTATCTTCAATATCTTGCCTTCCCCCCCACCCTCTCCTTCCTTCTCTTTGTCTTGAACAGGAAAATTTGTACACATCATTGTCTCATAGGGTGCCACTTATTGGAGCCTTTTCTGGTTATTGCTTGGATACGTGCAAATCATGTGCTTTTGTATTTTTCCTGTAGTTTCCCTATTGTCTGAGTGTGATTTATGTGTTTCAGCTTTGTGATGTCAGTCCAGTTTTGTCCCATCTAATGATTTTTATTAGTAATTGTGCCTAAAAGTTTATATTTATTATGACAATTGCCATGAACATTGGTCACCCATAACAACATTCCAGTTGCCTTAGATAACACCTAGAGATCAAAATAACTCATTCTCTGAATTTGCAGTATTAAAAGATATTCCTTATAGTAAAGCATGAGGAAGTACAGTGAATACTGTTAACACAGAGGTATAATATCTATTTATCAAAGCTAATTGGTAAATTTTTAAGAGTCTCCACAGTATATATTTTGTTCTTTATTTTCATTATTATGACAACTGTTATCATTTTAAGAGACTAGATGTATTAATTTCTCTGTATTTATGTGCCATGTTATAAGCACAATTTTTTTAAATTCACACATTATTAATATCAGATTTGTTTTTTTAAGTTTGCTTTACCGCCTTATTTCACGAGGGGAAAAATGGAGCTCTTGTCCTAGCTGAATCAAACCATCCTCTTCTGTGAATTATAATAATGGAATTATGTTGAATAAATCTCATCTGCCCAAAAAAGTAATTTTATTTATGGTCACCCTGCAATTTTCCCTATCTAAACAATATGTAAAGGGAATTTCAATAATTCAGCTGCATCAGGCTGCAGAGTTCTGCACAATACTAAATGACTCTTTAATTTATAAAAACTAATTCCAAATAATCTGTTGTCAGAGACAAGCAGAGTTGTCAGTGATCAGAGATGCAAAGAAAACAGCACAAGCTCTTTTTGGCTGGAATGGGTTCAA